TTCCCCGGAAAGAATCATCCGATTTCAAAAATTTATATTCTAAAAAATTACACACAGAAAATTATAATTCAAACACGAATATAACGGGAAAATGTATGAGTTTTTGTTTACAAGTGTTCAATATGACTTCTTTTCGTTACACGTATGATATCATTGCGATATGAAAGTTCTTGCCAAACACGGTGTAATGTATCTCTGGTAATTGTTTGTACAGCATCACAAATGCGTTTTTTCGGTTCATTTACACTTGTAGGTAAAGGTGGTACAAAGACAAGATCCTTCACAAATCCCCAAAGGAAGAAGTCGCATGGGGTTAGGTCGGGTGATCTCGGAGGCCAACTGTGTAGAACCATATTATCGGATGAACTGCGACCAATCCAACGGTTTGGTACATGAGAAAAAAATAATAAAAAGTAAAACTCGCACATTTTCCCGTTATATTCGTGTTTGAATTATAATTTTCTGTGTGTAATTTTTTAAAATATAAATTTTTGAAATCGGATGATTCTTTCCGGGGAACCCTGTATATTACAAACTCTCAGTCTAATATAATTGTACGTGTTTGTGTGTAACACGGATTCTAGATCGCGGACCCAGTTTGTCGCACGGGGGGCTTACAACTTTGTAACGATGTACGTACTCGGTTGAAATGAACTCGAAACTCGAAAGAGAATCAGACTCAATCTCGCTAGCGTTCCTTCGCCAGTAGTTGACTTGAAACTAAGCTCGATTTTTAGTCGCATTTGGGTCCTTTGTATACCCAAAATTTCCTTGGAAATGGTAGTGGGGGTGTCCATATGTGAGCCGGTTCTGGTAGGTTCGTCATCGTACCCCTTCAAAGGTACTTGACTCACAATATACTACAGAGCGAACCCGCTGACTGACGCCAGCTTGGCGTAGGAAGCAATATGAAGGAAGGAATATTCAGGAAGGAATATGAAAAAATACGTCGAAAAATTCTCCGTAATTATATGTTAACAAATTACCTCTTTTTTAAAAAATAAAACTGTAGAAAATAGCTAGGATTTTTTTGCATGAGAACATCAAGAGTCATTAATCTTGGCCCCATATGCAGGTTCAGCGTAGCTATCCTAATTTAAAACATCGCATTTGTTTCAAACAACTGCAACATAAATAATGAAAACTTAAATTGTTTAAACCGACAATATTTTTATTAGATACTTTTATGTATCCACTGTAACCATCCAAAATATTATTTTCATCGGTTTGGTAGTTCAATGATTGTGATTAAATGAAAAAAGGTTGACACTTTATTTCACAGTACAGTTCAATTAAAAATTTAGAAAATTATTAAAATTTCACGTGGGTCGACCCGTGTTTATG